TGTCCACTATCTTCCAAAGCTGCGGATACTGCGCGGACTGTGTTGGCAAACAAAGAATCCAATAAACGACTAGAGAGTAACAGTAAGGCTGTCTGTTCTAAAGAAAGAGTGTTTGTTTTCATTCTGAAGAATGTTCCTCTTGCCCGGCTTGGAAGGAGAGCTTCATCCAGGAAATGGAGTTGATCAAGGAGGATGAGTTGGAGGACTCGCTGACGGTGGAAGGGGAATACGTATCAGAAGCTTACATGAGGGAATCGCTTTGCTGGTCAGAGTGTCTTCATCTGCCAAGCTGCTACCTTCTTTTTCCGTTCGAGTTCCAAGATTTTCCGGAGTTTGAGAGTGTTTTTTGTAGAGAGATTGCGTTCTGGCTTGAGGGTATAACATCCAATCACATGCCTTTTATCCAAGGCAGAGAATCACGGCTGTAAAGGCCGCGGCGAGAGAAGACCCACCACGTCTAATGCGATGGGACAGGTATGAACGGATTCTACTCTATTGGGCAGAGTTGGCAGTGAAAGGTAGTCGGCGGCCACTTGATTGAAGTGGTGTGGAGTGGAGCTGCTCATTTTCCTTTGCATGTTTAGAATCCTTGGTTATTTTTGAGGCGATCCAGCAAGGTCAATTTGAAGCGCCGAGTTCAATGGGAGGAGGAAGGGGATCAAGCTGACTTGGACGAGTTTGAAATGCCCACGCGTCTGGGTGGTCCACCGCAGTCGGGACCCAAACCGGTCCGCACAGCGGATGCCACTGATTGCCCTGGCAGTGCCTCATTGGGGAAAGAGCCAAAAGGTCCCAGGTTGAGCCCACCCAAGACAGAGGTACCATCAGGTTGGGCTCTTAGGTGTTGATATCTGTCTTGATTGGGCTTTGTTTCAATCCATGCGTGTCTGCGTGCCTGTTTTCCTTCGCCAGTTCTGTGGTTCTGTTTGCAGGCGAGGTCTTCAGCTTGGACTCCGAAGTCAACAGCGAGGACGAGAGGCGCGAAACTGCTGCAGCCCATGCCAGTCAAGTCCGCAAAAAGGCTGGCTTGCCTGAGCTTGAGCTGGATGCATTGCCATCCACCATTGCATCCAAGATGTTGAAGCTTGCTGCTGTTCACACGGGAGTGGTCCATTTATGATTCGGAGCACAACCCTATGCTAATTGATGCTTCAAACAATCAAACATGGTGTTTGTTCAGTGACCCTGTTGCTGGCTGCATCTGGTTTCTTTGTTCAATGTATTCTACGGCTTAGGATTTGCCTTGACAAACGGGCCAAAGGACTTCAAGCCTCTTTGGATGTATGCACCAATGCGCCGAAACTGTCTGACCTGCAGACCAGGTCAGTATGATGTAAATTTGATTTTGCATAGCACCTTCCTCTAGCAACTCAGAGGTGGTTCAACCGGCTGAGCTGTGTGCCAGGATCCGTGACAAGATGGTGGAGTTGAAACATCAGCTCACATCCATCTGCAAAGAAATTGAAACGATCTACACGAATGGGATTGTGGAGGGTTTTTCCAAGGAGTCGTTGCCCAAGATGTCATTGCAGCAACACATCCCACTAATCTCTTAGACCCACTTTGTCATTTCAGGTCAGAGGACAATCTGCGATCCCAGTATCACGATGCCAAACTCCGGAACAGACCTTAATTTTGTGTTTGGTTGTTGTTCTTGTTGTGTACATTTTGGGTGACAAATTCTAAGGGCGGTGGAGGCCTTGAACCTTGAGTCAAGAACAAAGCTGGGACCTTGGTGGTGAGATTGTCCATAGCACGAATGGAACTAAACCTTTGATCTACAGAGGGATTGAACACTCCTTCAGGTCATCTTTGCCGAAGGCAAGCCCAAAGGAGGATTCGCCTAAACTGAAGGGAACGAAGCGGCAAAGCCAGCGGGCCAAAAACGCTGCGGCCAAGGCCGCATCGGCCAAGGCTTCATCTACTTTCAATGGAGCTGCCGTTCCAAAGGGAGCCCCAAAGTCTTCCGCTGCCCCAAAGGGGAAAGCAGCCGCCAAAAACAAAAACAAGGCAAACGCCTAGAGATTTCAATTTTGCCCAGATGCACTTGGCAAAGTTAGTTGCCAATTCATCCAAATGCTTTTGTAGGAGCATATGCAATTCGATATTCGTCAGATCCCAACTCTACTGCGGACGAACAGCGGGGAAAAATTAGGAGACCGTGCGACAATGTTTCTTAGCAATGTAAGTGCTTTTGTATTGACAGTTTGCCATTTGTTGCTTGGTGGTTGGACCTCTCGGATACCCCCAAGATGGTCTACTGGGGCTCCGACCAAACCACCAAAGCCCCCAAGATGGTCCACTGGGGCTCCTACCAAACCACCAAAACCCAGGAAGAAGATATCCACTGGTTAAGTTTCAAATGTGCATTCATGGCAGGTCCTGCATGTTTCAATCATGCCAGGTGATGGTCAGCAAAATGACCAAAAGAAAAGGTCTCTAGAAGAAGCGTATGCAGAGGCAGTTGCTGACGGAGTGGGAGGCTTACATTTTTAGCTGCAACTTTGCTCTGTTCATTTTCTCGCAGGTATACAGTGGATGTGACTGGATGTGATACAATTATTATGTCATGTTATGGTTTTGTCATGCTTTGCTTAGAGGCCTTGTAGCTTGGAAAGGTTTAGGTTTCTGCTTCGCCCAGGTCCCAGCAGTCACCTGCAGGCGGATGCATGGTGCAGCACTAGATGGTGGACAAAAGAGTGAAAAATCTCAGCTCCACAATGCTGCACGAGATGCCATGCGGATGGTTCGTCGAAAGTGGATCGGGTGGAATGTTCCATTGGACGTGGTTGATGTGTTTTTCGATGATGGCTCCTCCATTCAAGTCACTTATTTGGATCCTGCAAAGCTCCTTACATACCTCATGGATAAGCACCCTTCTACATTGACTGGGTGCTTTGACCTTGACCATGGCAAGGCCTGTTTCAAGGCATTTTGGGATAGCTACCGAACAGTCCACTCAACTCATGAACTGTTCGCCCAGTTTGCAAATGATCTTCACCACACTATCCCTGTTGCCATACACGGCGATGAAGGCCGTGGCAAGCGCAGATCAAATACAACAATCATTACAATGGAAGCGATTTTGGGGCTGAAGGGGCATACATCTTTGTGCAACAAATGCACGCCATCTTGTGGAGAACCTGTTTGCTTGTCTGTGGCGGAAGAGGCACATGAGCTGGCCAAAACGCTCATATCCAACTTGAAGGGACCTTCATTTGTTCAACATTTCCCTTTCTGTGTTGTTCCAGGTGTGCTGGGAGACAAAGTAAAAGTCATTACAGAGAAGCTGTTGTCAATTTTTTCTGAGAAGTTGCTCGGCTTGTTCAGCACAGGCTTTGAAGCCAGGTCGGAGCATTGGAGGGTTGCATGCGTTGCTGCCAAAGGCGACTTGAAGTGGCATGCCAAAGTAGGTCGCTTGGTCCGAGGATATGAAGGCCGTGGCCGTGTGCGGGATCTTCCTTCGTGTCACCTGTGTAAAGCAGGGGTTGCAAACCTTCCAGCTGAAGATTACACAGCAAACCCTATTTGGGAACACACCCTTTACTCAGAACGACCTTGGCGTCCTGAAGAACCTCCCTTGCTGGCTGCGATCCCATTTGATGCATCCATGCCAGAATATTTTCTGAAGTGTGACCAGTTTCACAACCTGAAACTGGGCATCCACAGGCATTTTGTTGCGAGTTGTATCTTCCAGTTCTTGCGGTATGGCTTTTTTGGCAGTCGTGGCAAGGTAGATGACAAATTGACAACGGCTTACGGCCATTTCAAGGTTTACTTGCGAGTTGTGCACAAATTTGCTTCCTTGAGGAGCTTCTCGCCAAGTTTGTTTTCCTACAAGAGCTCAACGAGCTACCCCTGGTGCAACACGAAGGCTTCAGACACTTCATTGATCATGGACTGGATAGCTACAATTACAGTAGGTTTCTTGAACTCAGAGAATTTGAGTGATGACCAAAGATTTGTGTTGGACACCATTTTGTCCACAACCCGCGTCGGCATAGCTTGGTTCGATATAGTCTACAAGCATGGTCTGTTCCTGGCGCCAGATTGTGCATTGAGGCTTTACGAGGTTGGGCATGCTTTTGTGGTTGGGTATTCCACTCTAGCGCACAAGGCCATGGCAAACAGACTCTGTCTGTTTGCCTTAATTCCAAAGCTGCATTTTCAGTGTCACACACTCGTCGAGCTGCGTTTGCAGATTGAGTCTGGCAGTGGGATTTCCTTGAGTCCGGTATGTTTCGACTGCTGCATGAATGAAGATGTTGTGGGCCGACTTAGTCGGCTTTCTCGGAGATCGGACACACGTGTGACTTTTGAACGAGTGCTTAGCTGGTGGCTAGTGAAAGCAGGCCTCTTGTTCAAGAGGCATTACGGGAGTTTAGAACGAAAGGGTCAGGGGCAAGGGTGATTGGGATAAGAGAGTCTAGGTTGTCATTCTGGACATTGTCTATGGTTCTTCACTGTGCTTTACTTGATTTTGGAGCTTGGTCCAGTTTCCTGTCTACAGGATTTGCCAACCTATGCAGAGTTAAAAGCACTGTGAACGACTATGTGCAGCATGGGAATCCACCAAACAAACGAAACGACGAAAAAAAACTCAAACGACATAAATTCTGGAAAACGACGTAAATTTACTGAGTTTCACGAAACGACGTAAAAAGGTAACACCAGGAGTTCCTAGGTATATATATATATTGATATATCTTTATCTAAAGACTTTTCAAATCTCCATGAACCTGATTTGCTTTCTTTCCATGGAAAACGCGTGACTCGGAGCTCCGAGTCTCTCATTGTCACGTGCTCTTTTTTTTCGGAGCGGACGGGATCCAACGGATGCGAATGGACCTTAGCGACTCTCCCAAAGCGTCCAGTGCCGATCAACAGCATTAAACACAAGAAAACACATAAATAATCTGATGGATGTTTCGGGGTATGAACAAATTTTGGGGTCCCCTTTCGGCACCGTGTCGACATGTCGCTCCCTCTTCGGGGTTCAGGTTGGACCCGAGCACGGCGTCGAGCTTCGAGGCCCGTCACGTGGTGTTCGAGGCGCGCGCGGGGTGACTCCGCGGGGTGCGGTGTGGGGTCCGCGGGAACACCGCGGTGGTCGTGCGGGTTCGAGAAAGAGATAGGTCTGCCGTAGGAGAAAACACATGGGGTCGGTTAGGTCCGTTTGCTGTTTATGGGGGGTTCCCGGTGTTCGTCTTTGACGACGGACGCCAGGCCACATCGAGCGGACGGACTGGGCGGATGGGCGGTCAGTCGTTGGGAAATTCGGGGCGGTCGCCAATACTTGCGTTGCGGCGGTGCTACAGCTATTGGGATACACATTGTGTGGACCCAGGATGCAGGGTTGGAAGGATTCCAGGATAGGACATGGAAGGGAAATCAACCAGGGTTGGTTTCCCCCATCAAGGTTTGGTCCTTACGACGGGTTTCCGTCCTCGTTAAGCCCTCTTGATCACCTCTTCATATCCGGAACATCGGGTTCTCCGGTTGCAGCAGCTGTTGTGGAGACCAGTGGTGAGACGGTGAGAAGATGAGCTGTTGCCTCGCAGTGTGATGAATGGTGGCCTCAGTGCGAAAGGTAACTCCAGACATTGAGATGGCATGTTGCATGAATGGTGACACCAGTTTTGGAAGATGTTCCACGACGGCACGACGGATGGTGTCTCCGTCACCCCACGATGTTTTCAGGGCGCAGCCATGGCAGGATGTGGCCCCCAGAGAAGTCTTGGCGGAGCTCTTGTCCAAAGCACCTCAGGCGGAGCTCTGAGACTTCCTGTGCTCAGGCCAAGAGACACACGGAGAGAGAACATGCAACAGCCAAGAGGTCTTCCCCTCTGCAGAGGTCCACATGGAAAACCGTCTGAGACCACGTCGGGTTGGAAGTCTGGAAGGCCTTTGGGGTCGGTCGAGTCCATTCTCAGGGTCGGTCCAGGCTAGTTCGTGGGGCGGGGTACCTTTTGGCTGTTGGTATAGGCAAGAAAAGCGTTCGTGACGCTACAGGCGCCTCTTGTAGCATGGTAGACTGTCATGTCTTTTTTTTTCTGCACAAAGGTGAGAACCTATGCTGAAGTCAGAACATTGTATTGTAATATAAGACCACCTCATGACCAACAACTCGCAGAAAATACCAAGCCAGAAACATTATCTTGAGAGTAATCTGATGTAAATCTGTGTCATATTGAACAACGTTGTTTCCCGTATGTGATATGAAATGGGTAGCACAGTAGTATCGGTCGTATGCAGTGACACATGCCCCCAAAAGTCATCAAACATCTCGTATTACCTGGCTTTGCTGGTCATCACCTCTGCAGGTGATGTTCTTTTTTGTCGGTTCCGAGTGAGTCCCCTGAAACTGGGGAAGTTCCTTCGGCTTCGGCCGCAAGGACCCCAACCTCTGGACATCGCTCTTCCACACCGAGAACGACCGTCGCTCCTGCCCGCCGCCGGCGGGCGTGCTGCGCCTGCGCCTCGTGCTTCGGAGGCGGTGCTTCCGGGCGTCTTCGACCCCATCTTCACGCGGAATTCGGGATCCGAAGAGGTGCGACCCAGCGGGTGCGACGCAAGGCCAGTGAGTGTGAAGCAAACCTGGCAGTGAGTGAGTGTGATGGGGGGTACCTTGCAGGGTTTGCAGATTTGTTTCTTTTTTCAAGGCCCCATCCATAGTGCCAGGCAATAGAGGGATGGAATATATGACGTTTTAATTCTGGCCATCCGGGTTTGTCCCCAACGCAAGCCTTAATAGACCGGAAGAGGGCTTGGTCCATTGGTTTCCTTCATTCCTTCAGCCACCAGCCAGCCGTGCTGGTCCTCCGGCCTCAGCCAGTGGTTGGCCAGACACATCAACTGACACATCATGTAGAACACTGATGTTTGCTGCATCCTTTTTGCATCCTTCCTTGCTGTTTGTTTCGTTACACGTCACGCGGTGGGGTGGCCGAGTAATCCCCAGGTCGTGAGCACTTCGGGGGTCGCCGGGGTGTCGTCATTTGGCATCCAAAAGTGCTACCCTGTGACCACCTGCCACGCAAAACGCCACACACACAGGTAATTATATAGTTTGAGTGTTGTGTTTGAGTGTTGTGTTTGAGTGTTGTGGTTGTGTGTTGTGGTTGTGTGCTTGTGGTTATGTGTTCGTAGTTGTGTGTTCATAGTTGTGTGTATGTGGTTGTGTCTTCGTGGTTGTATTTGAGTGTTGTGTTTGAGTGTTGTGGTTGAGTGTTGTGGTTGTGTGCTGTGGTTGTGTGCTGTAGTTGTGTGCTGTCTGTGGTTGTGTGTTTGTGGCTGTGTCTTTATGGTTGTGTTTTGTCTATTTCTTGTTGAGGTCGACTGCGATCTGGCGCTTGCTGTTGAGGTCTGGATTGGCGGGAGCGCGAAGGAAGGAGGAGGATGAGGAGAAGAGAATCTGTAAGAATCTCTCAGCCCTCACCTGACAGGTGGGCAAAAGACCAAAACAAAGCGACAGAACACACTCCCCGATTTCGACGCGGCAAATCGTCTGCGCGCCAGGTCTTCGCAGCGCTGGACCCCCGCACAGCGGCGGCGAGTCCTGCGACACTCGACGCCAGCGGCACAAGGCAGTTCATTGAGGCAGCCCACCGCGTGGCCGTTGGGGCTGTCTTGGCCTGTTGATCCGAGAAGCAGCAAGACTTAATTTCAATCATGCGGCAAACCAGTGTTGACTTAAGGCATGTAATATATACTATCAGATCAGTCTTTGATCACGCAAGTGTCCGGGAAGAATGATAAGAATGGCTGTTTGCCTGCTTGCTTCCCAGAAGTGCTTCTTGGGGTTTGGATGTGCTGTTGGGAAGCTCTGAACTTTGCTTGCGTGGTTGAAACTTTTGCTACGCTGCCGGCACAGTGAAAACTCCTGCTGGTCTATGCCTTTCTTTAGGCTTCACTATTACTCAAAGCTCAAGGCTCTAGGGTTTGTTGGAAAGGCTAGGTTCACGAACTCTTTTTTGTGCGTTTTCGAGGAATGGTGAGTTTCTACCAACCAAGGCGCCGGAGGCAACACGATAACTACAATGAAGTAAGTAGTCGGCACAGTTGGCGAGTGTCATGGCAGAGCCAGATATACTGCTGGTGATGGTTGCAGTTGTTGCCATCAACCGAATCATTGAATCCACTGTATTAAAATTTGTTGATTCTAGTGTTTTTGGGCGCGCACGGGTGGTGGCATTATGGGTTCAGTGCATCAGCAAAATACATAGGGACTTGCCAATTGGTCGAAGGTTTGGAATATGGTCTATGATATGTATATATATAATCATATTTTGCAATTGTAAGGTGGTGTGGCAAAGTACAACGAAGACAAGACGTTCAGACTTAGATGTGATTTACTGAATGTGCTTAGTTCCGTTTAGGATCGACAGGATGAATTGTATGACCTTTGGGAAGACTCTTTTTCGCTATACCTACCCCAGGAATTCAGTGTATCAAATGCAGATGACATTCTATTTGTGGGATGTTGGAGGTGGAGATGGTTCGGTTCACCTGCCCACTTCGGAATGTCTGGATCCCTCGAACCTCACGTGGTCCCTCAGGGTCTTCCGTCACGGTCTCCGTGCATCAGGTGGTGCGACGCATGAGCGCCTTGGCGGATGAGCGCCTTGCGCGGCATGGCGCCGGGCAGTGAGTGACATGCGGCTTCACCACCACCCCACCCTCCGCCCTCCGCAAGGTTGAAGACAAAAGAAAGACTCCAACGCGGAGTTGCAGTGTGACATGTTCTCCGTTGGGCGTAGGAGCAGTGTAGGATATGGTTTTACATCAACGTCAGTCTTTGGGGCGTCAGCAGCACAGCTTTCTGCTGCTTCCTGCTGTCCTTCTTGGTGCAATGGGAAGAAGCCAAAATCAAGGGCAGGTATGTCTTCCAGTAATGATGCCACCAACCCAGTTCACATCCAATTTGGTGTCAAGCCAGTTGGCAGTTGGCCAGCCAGGTATGTTTATCTTCAAAACAGACCCTGATATGCCTTGCCCCTTTGCTATTGAAAAAATACCTTGCAATGGTTCCCTTTTGGTAGGTTGTGATAGCCCAGTGGGTCAACGCACCAGTTTAACCAGTTCTTTAGTGACGCACCGGTTTAACCGGTGCTTTAGCAAAACGGGAGCTGGAAGCTCGAAAAGGCCATGAAAAAACCCGTGAAAAGGACGTGAAAAACCCGTGAAAACGGGGTGAAAGGCCGTGAAATACCTGTGAACATTAGGTCTTGGAAGTTGGGAGGTGAAATGCGTCCTTTACGCTAACGCACCAGTTTAACCCGTCCTTTGGACTTGCTGGGTAGGCAGACTTTGGTAGGTTATGATGGGCGGACAAGCCACATGTTGAATTTATGGTTTCGAATACAATTGGGATTTGCCGTGAGGGAGGTTTTGAACTTCTGGACCAGTCTATGGATGTCAGTTTGGGTTTGTCTAACAATCCGAGATGATCAGAGTGACCTAAAGGATCCTAAAAGGGACAAACAACCAGTTGGAGATGTTTAACGAGCGATCTGACCCCTTCTGAACAACAGCCAAATGCCTCAAACCATCCTAAACCCTGTAACCCTGCTACATATGGCTGATTTTCCGATGCAGCAGTTTCTAGAAGCTGCTTCCTCGCCAGCTCCGTCCTTGCTCCTCCCAACCCCTAAGGGTCCAGGACCATCCTGAGGATGTCCTTTGGCCACAAAAACTATCCTTTTCACCTCCAAGACCATCCTCAGAAGGTACCTATCCCAGACACTCCAACTCCATGCATGGTATATTTACCACCCTAATGTATATGTAAATATGCCATACATGGAATGTCTGGGTATGGGAACATGCATGTCGCTTCTCCCCAAACGATTCTTTCCATGGGTTGAGCAAGACATTTGTTAATCCCTAGGGATCCAAGTACCTTCTCAGAAGGTGATTGGAGGCACTGTTATGTAGGTTCGGAGGGTCCAAGTGCCTTCTGAGGAGGTACTTGGATCCCTAGGGAATAAATATCCTTGCATTCGATGCCTCGATGTTCTTTCGGGTCCAGCGGTGGCGCCAAACGCGCCGTGTGGAGACTCCAGCGCTTGGTACTCGGCGACCTACGGTTTTTCACCCCGCAGGGCGACCCGTTCCGTGGGGAGCAACCACCATCAGCATTTCCCAGACACGACGAATGGGGTTGCCATATTGACCCCCCAAACCACCACTCCAACTGATCGGCAGTCCTATGGCAGTCACGTGGGGTGTCTGGATTTTTACAGGATTTGAAAAACCAGGTGGTGCCATAGCTCATTTGCTTCACTCATAGCCGGCGTCCCCGTGCTCTCAGAACAGCTGGTGGACGAGGAATTCCAACTGTCGGGCAGCCTAGCAACGGGAACATGATGTGTAGCATGCTAGGCATGGCAGTTCCAGGAAAATACCTTAGCAGAAGACATTGATTGTTGTTTGTGCGGACAAACATGCACAAACAACTTCATCAAATGCCCCATCGGATTCCTTTTTTCATTTTAATGGTGGCATGCTATAGCCGCAAAAAATCAGCACTTACTTGCACCATCCCATCTCAACACGCTGAGAACACATTCCTTCATTTTTAAGAATTCGTAAGGGCTAGGATATCCCTCCATGGCAGGGTATCCTTCCCTCAAAGCTCTTCTCTTTTGAAGGCCTGGAGTCTGAGGGATATGATTTCGCTGGCCTTTTCGAACCTCTTTTTCCCTCTTCGCCCGCCGAAACGCGGCCACCGAGGCACTTCTCATCACTGCACTTCGCTCAACTCGCCTGCCGCAGCGTGGAACCACCACGCGCGGATTCCGCGGAGAAGGTGCTCAACCGAACGCGGCGCCGAACGGAGCAGTCCCAGGAGACGCGAGAGAATTGGTGTGAAAGGGTGAGTGGAGGAAGATGGAGTGGAATTTGTAGGGACTTCTTTTGGTGTGTACTGTATACACCCTAGGGATCCAAGTACCTCCTCAGAAGGTGATTGGAGGCACTGTTATGTAGGTTTGGAGTTAATTATTAGTTAGACTTGCTTTATGTTGGACTCATTAGACTGACAGAATTTCTATCAGATTCTCGTGAGCTCCACAATGTTGCATATGTGAATTTGTAAATTAAACTTATTGTTCTTTACTGCCACCGGTGACAGACATTAATGGCTGAAAAGGAAGCCTATTTGTTCCAATTATGTTTAGAATAACATACATTTGCTTGCAGCATCTGCCATGATGGGGGGGCACGGTTCTTTTTGGAAGCTTTTTGTGTTGGGTAGATCTGGAGGGAGAATCAAAGGAGTGTTTTGACATGTGTTATGTTTTATTTGTTTCAACATTGTTTCTATTTTTGCTGATGTGTTTGAGCACTCTCATTGATGTTCTTCTTCTTCTTCTTTACCGCCTTGTGTTCATGTCAAGAACACTGCGTAGAGCAGTACCGCTCTTGAATGTATCGATGGCCTCCACCCTACAAGCGATGGCCTCCAACCTACTTCCGATGGCCTCCAACCTACTTGCGATGGCCTCCAACCTACTTGCCATGGCCTCCACCTTACTTGCGATGGCCTCCAACCTACTTGCGATTGCCTCCACCCTACTTGCGATGGCCTCCACCCTACTTGCGATGGCCTCCAACCTACTTGCGATGATGGCCACCCTACTTGCGATGGCCTCCGCCCTACTTACGATGGCCTCCAACCTACTTGAGATGAACATCCAATCTTCGTTAACTCCTTTTCTTAAAGCCATTTCCTCAGCCAAGTCCCTTAACAATTTGGACAATCCTTGCCTATACCACCATGAATGTCCATAAACTTTTTTGAAGTTTAAAAGTGGAAACAATATATACTATAATATATGCAAGTTATATGAGTAAAATTCAAGTAACCAAAAAAGAACAAAATACATTGTATACCATTGCACCAATTCACTCAGTCTCAAAAACCTTAAATGTTTCTAGAACGTTTTCTATTAAAAAATAACAACAAAAACACATGTAAACACCATCTTCGAAAATCAAATATATATATATATATTATCGAATTCTTCTTTTGGCGATGTTTCTTTCTTTTTTCTACAAATATAAACACGTATTTGGCTAATATATATATATATATATAAACAAAAATGCAAGTATAAAAACACATTGGCATGGCCTCCAACCTACTTGTGATGGCCTCCACCCTCTGATTCACTGGGAGCTTAAATTGCTGGCCCTTGGCTCTGTTTGTGTTTGTGTTTGCCCTCTGCAGGTTCAGAGCAATTCGGACTGAGCACAGATGTTCCCAATTAACGTAGGTTTGTGTTTGTATAATCTCTTCTTTTTGTTCATTCAATCGGGGTACAAAAACCTACAAACATGACATGTACCTTTAGAATTAAGCTGTAGCGTTTGAATAGAACCACGACCTTGATACAACCATCCCTCTCCAAAAGTTAGCAAATGACAAGTTCGCTTGGACGCTCACAGGAGGACGGAGCATCTTGCGCCTTATCCAAGGCGCGAACGGTGCAGCACAACTGGTATATTCGTTTCGATTGGTCCTTGGGGCTAAAGCACCGATGATCCTCAGATTGCTGTCAATCCGAGGGCGACCTGGCACCCCAAAATGGATCACTTAGAAGCAGAAGCAGTCCTGTATTTTGTACAGGAACTACCAAAAAGAACGCTATTTGCTCAGTACTACTCATTTCCCAGACACTTGATGGGACTGGAACTGTATAACCTGGAAATGTGTAGTAACATTTTTGTTGTGAGATGGCTGTATTGGGACAGAATTTCACGTATGTCGAGATTTTTCCTAAAGAATTAGCGTATTTAGCGCGGTATGGACAAAAACCAATACTGTAGCCATAACCCAATTTTGATCAACGTGTTATTGGAAAATCACAAACACAAAGACACAAATAGTTGTACGAAAACAACAATCGAACCCAATATTTGGAAACAATCCAGCCATAGTCCATTCGACAAAAACGAATTGATGCACAGATGTTTTGTGCGAACCTGTTTGAACAAAAGACATGCACGTTTGGGTCCCCTAGCTATATATATATATATATTATATTCTTTTTTTAAATTATATGTCGGGCCTACATTGACTCCCCAAGCCAACCCGGGCAAGCTGGCATACATATGGCATCATATGGCAGTCCCATTTGGGTGTTCGTTTTGTATTTTTTGCTAAAAAAACAATCTTTTCGGTCAGGAAGAAGTGGATTTCTCCACACACCTGGCCTATTTGGATCTTCATAGTCCGGGTGCCACCACTTACCGTGGAGGCCGGGGCAGCGGACCGTGTCCAGGTGCGGACCTATCGGATCACCTGCAGGTCACCTGAAAGGTCAGGGATTGGTGAGACGTTTTCCGAGAAAAAAGAACTCCAACCAGGAGTCACGTTCGACAGGGTGGGTTTTAGTCCCATCCAGTGATTGGATGTTCTGGGCACTCCGACTTCCTCCAAGTGCACCCCGGTGGACGTTTGTTCAAAACCTCTCTTTTCGGATCGGCTCAGCATGCTGCTTGTGACCCAGACACGACCTGTTTGGGACTGGCATTGGGGTGGTTGAAAAGGAGTTGAAAAAGGGTGCATTTTTGTATATACCATACATGGAGTGTCTGGCTGATGTTATTTGAATCGGGTCCTGCAGCAGCTCAGGCGGCTGAGGCGGCTCAGTCTTGTCCGACCTTCGGAATGATCGACACAGATTTGGTCAAAAACGACAACCCCTCTTCGACGGCGTACGCACCCCAAAAAAACTGCGTTTTGCGTATGGGTCCCAGATATTGTAGTCGTTTCCCTGTAAGACCTGCTGTAGTCGTTTCCAAGACAAGGTTCGACGTTGCCTTCTTGCTTATCGTGAGGGGTGTACAATCACTATACATCGAGCACCGAAGAAGATCAGACTACTCGATCGTTGCCACGCCTTAGTTCGTCTTGTGAGAGTGTCTCACATGATATCACACAGGTTCTGTTTCATCGTTGCGAGCATGAATTCGCTATTTATTTACATCACTGGTTCCTTTAGGTGCATACAACATCTACCATACCTACCATATATGGCAAGCAGTGCGTAGACGAGGTCCATGTGGCACCGAAATTCAGGGACCCCAAAACCATGTGGTAAGGTGGTCAAGAACTTTGCGGACGACAAATTCGAGAATTTCCGAGCATTGGGTGGAACCCTTCAATTTCAATTAGTTTTCTGCACTATCATGTACCACATGCCAACTGCACGATCACATATACAAAAGGTGAACAGCATCAGGCAAGGATGTGTTTTGGTAATATTTAGTCCTATTCTTGGACTTGACGATATATGTTCAACTGCTCCAGGTGCAGCTCTATCCACTGACACTTTGAGGTGTTCAACAATGCTGCGTACTTGCAGTTCATGTAGAACAGCGCGACACAAGACTGGAATGGCAAGATCATTGCAGTGCAGTATGAACCGGTGCGTAAACATGTGGAAGTGACTGCTGATGATTCAGATGACAAGACTTCTTGTCATCTGAATCATCAGCGGTGATGGAAGATGATGGAAGATGAAGTTCTCATGGTTGCAGCGTTTCCAGATCAGCTTCTAAATCAAATCACGTGAAAGCAACTGCTGCAAATGGTGGAATGAATCAATTAATGGAAAGTTGGATGATGCTGAGCTGCCTGGAGCTCAGTCCCATGATATATTATTCTAGTTCTTAAGCCTACGAAGATCTACGAAGTAGCATTGCAACTGAACAGAACAGGCTAGATGAACTTCAGCAGCACATAAGGATTGAAAAGAAGGCTGACAGTGAGAATACAAAACAAACAAAACAACAGCAACATACAAAGCTTCTGTAGAAGAATTTACATACGTGTTTTCTTACGCGAGAGAAGAGACATTTCGGGTACCAGGATGCCTACCATGGGCTAGGCAAAGCCACTTGACCCAAAGCCACTTGTCCTTCTTCGACGCCAGGGGACCTCATTTTAGATGACCGCAACGGCTCGCTCTCGCCAGCGGCCGGACGCATGGCCGCTCGGAAGGAAAGAAGAACAGGAGAACAGCGCAGACGCTCCGTGTTTTCACAGCCCGACTCCCGTAGGATTGCGATCAAAACCTTAAGGGTTCTTTTGTGAGACAACAGACGCTCCAAGCAGCTTGTTCCTGGCCTCTCAAACCATCTCAAAGCTATAGGGATTGGTGAGAAGCCCCAGACAAGACCTCCAGATCCTTCCATAGGATTCGAGAGCTCGATCCCGTTTGGGTGGTCTCCTTGTCCAACATTCATCCTCCTGGCCGGTGTGGTTGTGGTGGCGGTTGTTGATGTTTATACATATTTGTTTTGCTGCTGTTGCTGTTGCTATGAATCGTTTGATTCTGGCTTTGTTGTTGATTGGGGAAGGCCAGTGCCCTCACGGAAAGTATTTTTTGGTCAGGGTGATGCTTTTTGCATTTGTTGCTTTCTGAGGCGGCTTAGAGTACTTTTCGCAGATGTTCAACGAATGCTTAGGTGGGTATCATCCGCATCTAAGTTGGATTTTCATATGCACTGGCTAGGTTGCTTTGTAGGGTGTGTCTCGCAACGATGACGGTGGGCCCAGAGAGAAACTGATCAAGATCCGGCGCGCAGCATTCGAGCATTCTGTAGGGATCCATTTTCGTACCTTCTCAGGTACGGTGATGTGTTGTCTTCACTGTTTATGTCGGTGCCAAAACGTCGGGTCCGGCTTTACCGGGACGAAAACGGATCGACTGGATGCCGCTCGGGCGCTCGGGATGCCCCGAAGCTTGGGCACAGCGGACCTGGACTCGTTTTCATCATCGCCTGCTTTTGGGTTTCACAGCCCTCTGAAGAGGCCTCGAATGATCACCTGTAAGAAAGCACTCAAATGGCCCCTGCCACCAGGCCCAAATGGCCATCATCCGTGCCTCCACCCCACCACCACGTGGTTTGTCGGGTGGTCAACAGTCACTTTGTCATTTCCAAGCCAGTATGGGATTTAATCACGAAAGGTAGCTTGAGCTACCTGAGTTCTCCTTGCTTTAGCAAAAATGTATTACAATCAGGAGTTGGGATTGTGCATTGAGTTTGGTCCTGTAAGAGTTGATTCTGTTCGTCGGGGGGGGGGGGCCCCTCTGGATCAAATCCCCCCTGCGCCGGTTCACGCCGTCATGGACTTCTACCAGGGTTACTTGTGATTGCCTGCTACCTTTCGTTCACCCCCTCCTCTCTCAAGTTATGGTATTTTGAGATGTTTTCGCCCCACAGTAGTAGGAGCAAAGGGCATCGCTACTAGGACACCGTTCGTTCGCCTTCCGTAAAGGTGGCCCTGGAGCTGCCCGTCCTCGGTCCTGGGCGCTTCCACGGTCTTGAGGCGGCGTCTTCCGGAGCGAACTAGGTGTTGGGTTGGGCCGCCCGCACAGAAAACAAAGACAACATCACCGATCCTCTACCGGCCACGACGGAACTGGTCGGTTGAAGGGTGGTTGAACTCACGACCCATCCTCATGTGCGTTGAAGAACATATATGCAGTATAGTAATATGTTGAATACTAGGACCCTCTTATAAGGGGTGCCCTGTCTGGAAGCCTAGTGCGGTAGTGTGGGGTAGTCCAGCCAGGACACCCCGACAGGAGGGTCCAGGACCGAAATGGAAATCTTTTGAAAAGGTGTGCCGAGCAACTGGATTGGGGTGAATTTCTTTGGTGGTCAACGTCCAAATTTTTTACACGATCGACAGAGGCTGCATATTGACAGAGTTTCTGAAAAATCGGTGGCGCAGCACGTGCTGTCCATCGATCATGTTGTGGAATTGGAATCGAATCTGCATACTCCCTGTGTCGTAGATGTGCCTCGCTTGATTGCTTGACGGACATCATCGTCTCGTTCACATGCCCAGACGCGACCCCTCACAGCTCGACCGGACCCTCAAAACCCTAGGAGGGTCCATGAGCGTCTTCCTATACATACCTTTTGGGAGAGGGGGTGATCGTGATCCGATCTGGTGGATGCAGTGCATTCGTGTCGGGCTTGTCAAACGGTTCGGTACGACTGGCACCCTCCAAACCATCATAACAGTGCCTCCAATCACCGTACCTGAGAAGGTACTTGGATCTCTAGGGAAATTTGCCACCAGGTGCTTTGCCCGATGCAGTCCACGCGTCATGCGAGTTGTAAACATATCGACGTTTCACCACGCGGCGCACGCCGCTTCACCGAATGACTAAGCAAGAAACACCCGCAGTTCTTTTGTTTCCAATTGCCTTTTGTTCAGTGACAACTGTTTGTGACGAGAGGTGGATACGACAGTCAACTGTCGCTGCAGACATTTGTGCAGTTTGGAAGGGCTAGTGACTAGATCGACTCCCCGATCCCTTGCACGATGTTCCTCGTCCCATGGAGAAGCGAATTGGGTCGCTGTCACGGTCGGGCGCTGTCGCCTCGCGGCTCGTCCACGCAGGCTGGTCTTCGTTGTCATGTGGGCATTGGGCTTATCGACCATAAGGACTTGGGCGTCCGAGCCGGGAGCCGCTCGTGGTGACCTGCCCTGCATAGGGCTGGCTTACGGTTTGCATTTTCACAGTGTTGGCCAAGCATAGGTGACGGACGGTGAGGGTGTTGGAATCAAGGCCTTCGTGGATTTTGCTTGGCAACACTTGCTTGGCCTTGGGGTGAGCCTTTCTGCCTGTGTGCTCCAGGCTTGCCAAGGACGGCCGGGCGGCTTTCTCCCAGTTCAGGCTCCCAAGATGGAAGTAGAAGGGTTCTGTGAGCCAATTCTCCACTTTCACATGTTGAGAGGGCGCTGTTTCAGTCAATAAGTTGCGAAGAAGCATGACAACGTGAAAGAACACATCAAGGAAAGTAATGTGCGAATCCTTGCCACAGGCAAAGAAACAATAAGAAACATAACGCCTCCTCCAGCGGGCAGCTGGTCCACTTACCTGTAAGAAAACGCGAAGCCCTTCACACTACAGTAAGTCCATCAGCACTGTGTTTGGTTGGGAGATGGGGGGCGACATGAATCCTGAAGAAACTGCAATGCCGTTTGTTTGGTCCAACTTGTCCGCAGACCAAAGGGGGGTTCCCAGTCGTTGTTTCCTGCAGGACATCATGGGCAAGCAGATCCACAGCCTCGCAGAGGCTGAAGCCTTGCTTGCGGGTTTCCAGCCCCAATTTCGGCCACAGGACGAGCGGACGAGCAGACAGTTGTGGTATACAGGATGGCCTCGAAATGAAGACGGTGTTCATTGATGTTCCTATACGTAAGAGGGGAGTTGTCCACTTCCATTGTTGCAAGGAGAGTAAAGCATGAACTCAGAAGCTGCACGCCTCAGAAAATTGGTCGGGTTTTGTATGGTTAGGCATTGGTGTTCTTAAGAAGGAGAACCACCTGAAACTAGAGTTGATGCCTGTAGGGATTGGTGCTTTCTTCAGATTTCTGAGCTATCGTCACCATATCAAATTGATAGGCCACTCCAATGCATTTTTGCGCATATAAAGATAAAGCGCATTTAAAAGTCTTCGATGGTAGGCTGTGACTTTCTGCATGCGAATCAAGCTAAAAGCATGAAGTCGTCAGAACCCACAGAAAAGACCCAAGCGTAGCAAGACGTGTCTAGTATGTACATGGGCAACCCAGAAACCTTGAACCCTGCATGTTTTTGTGCATCTTGCGGGGGGTGTTCGCACCAACCGCGGGAGCTTCCCGCACCAACCGCGGTTCGGTTGGTTGGGGGGGGGTACGATGTAAGGATGCAGCTGTACGTACCTCACTGTGTTTTCCTTTGTGTATTAAATTACAACGCACAGATTTCAATTGACTTTGCTTCTATGCAATATCCATATACCACGAATGACTTTCAAGTCGAAGGAGAAACTCTTTTCTGCAGGTTCTTTTAAGTGAAAGAAACTTGCGTGTTGAGTTGCAAAGTGTTTCGAATTAAGAGCAATCATCAAACCTTCAAGAACACTTCTTGTAACGCTCAACACAAGCATCTTCCTTGTGAAAGCGTAGGAAACTTGATGCGCCAGCAAAGACACATCTAAAACTTTCCTTTGCCTTTTTTGCCTTTGCGAGTGCCAAAGAAAGTGTCTCTTCCGCGGCCGCTATGCACCTAATTAAAAATTCAACGCCGTCGCAGGGTTGAAGTCTTGCCCCTGTTCCGCTGCGTAGTCGAACTCCGCAGTGAGATTCTCAACGAAATCGCAAAACTCAGTGGGCAAGGCTTCTCTCCCAACGGCAGGGAGGGATTTTTCAAACACCTCTCCCAACATTCGGCAAAGTCCACCAGGATACTCTTTAAGCTCGGTGGTGGCCCAAGATCCATCGTACTTTCGACCCACCGCAGTGCGCTTCGGCAGCGCGGTGCAACGGCCTCGCACTAGGATCTCCTCAATCTGGGGTGTGACGTTCGTGAACAACAGTCGTGTCGGCTTCGGTGTCTTGCCCCCCGTAATGGCCTTGCAGCAAGCGAATGCTCAAACAGTTCGAGAAGCGGTGGAAAGTGCGAACAATAGGCAGGCGCCAGATAGACGCTGCTTGTTCATTCTGCTCATCCTTCTCTGGGTGTTCGAGAACTGCCACTGAACCACTGCATATCGAAATGGCAACAAGGCGGAGTGCAACGCCTAACAAGCCGCTGCCAAATGTCACCTGCTGGTGCTCACGAAGGGTCATGTCAAGGCGACCTTGGGGGGAAGCTCTAGTTCTGACGACACGAGGATGTCTGCCTCCCTCCACCGCAACTGCACGGGCCTTAGACCATGTTTCGAGCATATAGAGCATATAGAGCACGTCGAAAAAATTGAAAGGTATCTTGCCTCAACAAATTACCTTTAACCTTGTCAAAGATGATATCGATTGACAGGGGTTTGAAGCCCTTCTGTTCCAGGATACTTTGGAGGTCCTCGGCCCTTCTATGTCCAGAGAACAGGTGCGCAACCACATGAACTTCAAAATCAGGTAGTGGTGTAGCAAGTCGGTATATCGCATCCATGGAATCAGCTTCCCTAGCAAAGACTTCTTCGGCCTTCTCACTCACTGCAGAGCTGTGCACAACACCATCCAGGATCCAATCTGCACAATATTGGATCTTATAGCATGCTAGCCTCTGCAATGTTGCCAGGTCCACTTCTTCATGTCGCCCCACCCAATCCTCAACCCAACGATTATAGTGCTCAAGGACTTCCTTAGGAAGGAGCACTGTCTCAGCTGAGGCAAGACGAAGGCGTTCTAAAATATCGTTGTCATCTGCCCAGTCAGGGTCAGCAGCTTTACTCCAAGCGTCATAGAGTGTATCGTACTCTGCTTGTTGAGGATGCACAAGCGAGTGAGCTGTCTGGTCCCTACACTCTTGGGGCCCTTCAGCCTGAAGATAGGGATCATGCCATTCTGTGAGCTTGGCTGACGCACCCCTACTATTGACCCCTGCTTGGACTTCAACCTGCTGTCCTCGGCTGAGATAAAACTGCTTGCAAGTCTGTTTGCGTTTGACATGGTTGATCAAATTGACATGGGTGGAGTAATGCCTCAGGCATGATTCACACTGCTTGCCAAGGATGAAATGTCGTACCTCACAGAGTCGTCCGTGCTTCTTGAATGCGTGGACTGTCTGTGCAGCAATACTTGCAAATCTCATTTTACACTTTGCACAAAATTGCTCGAGATCGTTGGTCTGGCTTCCACTGAAATGAACGCCCTGTTCCATTAGTTCTGAGAGAATTTCTTGGTGCCAACGATTCCAGTGGTGCTTCCTCTCAAGGCTTGCAAGGTGCCGCTTGACTGCCTTACGGATCAAAGCTTTCCATCTGCCTTTTGATTCCCGGATGTAAGACATGATATACTCCCATGTCTCAGCAGTGACCCTCGGCAATTCGGCTTCTGGTGTGAGTTCTCTCAACCAATCAAAGTCATCGACGAGCCTGTCCATCCAGCGCTGTTCCATCTGGATCAGTGTCCAAAGGTGAGGCGTCCCGCAGTTCACCAGTTGGAGACAGAATCGAAGTCGTGCTTCTCGTAGAAAATCTTCTGCTCTCAGTGCCCCAAGTTCGGTTTGTACTCTCGTCTCTTCCCACTTCATTGCTGCCTGGCCAAAATGCAATAAAGCAACTCTTTTCAGCAGCTTAGCATGGCCTTTGCGGAGGCAGGCTTTCTCCCTTTGGGAGTTCAGTATCCACCCAGCAGCATTGAAGTGCATAGCACTGAAAACCAGGCTGCTCAGAAAACTGACTTTAGTTTTGAGGTCCATGCCTTTGTTTCCAAAGATCTGAGTCTTGAAGCCCGTAATAACCGAATGTGCCTGTCCAAAACGAACCCTGAGCTCAAGCATAGCTTTCGCACTTACACACAACCACGTGCCCAAATGTTTATAGGCAGGGACGGCTCTCAGAGGCATTGTGACATGTGTGGACTGCGTGTGGATCAAATTATCTCGAAAGAGGAGATCTCTCCTGGCTTCCAAGGTTCCGCCTCCCCTATAGTCAATGAGCACCTCAGTCTTGCCAGCCTTCAAATTTGGCTGGAGCCCTGCACTTGCGAGGCGGTCAAACAGCATACCTGAGACTTGGCACACAACCTCTGTCAAACCCTCAGGTGTAGGTGCATGGATGGCCAAAGCCAAGTCGTCTGCCCACACAGGCATGACAAGGCTTAAGCTGACCCGGCAGTCCGCCATAGCAAAAGGATTCTGTCTCTCATCCCATTGCAAATTCAGATGTGGAAATCGTTGGAGTACTTCTTGATCAAACCCCTGCAGAATCTTGCTGAGTGCGAAGGCAAAGCAAAGGTCAGCCAGTGAATCTCCAGGTCTCGATCCACGATGGGTTTGTGTCAAGTTGGGGCAATCATTGACAATAAACCATGTTCTGCAATAGAATTCTTTGAACAGAGCACGTACATAAGGCGAAGCATCTGTTCGGTCAATCGCTGGGTGCTCATGCATCTGCTGTTGGAATTCCATCCAGGCCGATTCCGGCAGTCTCAACTTCTGAAAAACCCGATGTAGTGTGTGCTCATGTTCTCCATATTGGATAAAATGCTCACGAACCAAGCGGTAGAAGGCACTTGCAATGTCGACAAAAAGAATGCCAACACTGTGCTTCTGTCGTATCCAATAACGATGGTACAGGTTCAGACACATCGTGGCTTGGATTGTTGCATATCCAGGCATGCCCCCAATTTGGATTGGGAGTCTCTCCTCGAAGGCATGAACCAAGTCTGGTCTGTATGCTGCATGGAGCACCTTCCCAATCGGGCTACTCACAAAAAGTGACCGATAACTTGCACAATCTCCTGGTGGTCCTTTTTTGTATGCAGGTACTAGTCGTCCTCCCTTATAAAGCACCGCTTCTTTGAGTTGAACGACTTGTTTCAAATAGAGTGGGTAAAATGCTCTTGCCAAAGTGGCAGGAGCACCACTGAGAACATCTCCTGGGATTCCATCGACAAAGAATGCCTTCCCTCGCTTCGTGGCCCTGAAGTAGAACTCAATCTGTGGAAGTGTAGGCAGATCCTCCCAAGTTGGCCTGATCATCTGCAGACTAGGCTTTTGTTGGAAGAGCTTCTCTATTTGCACTACCTCTCCAGCCTCTTGTTCTCCAAAATGTTCTCGCCACCGTTCAGCAACCTCAGCATAATCCAGGAGTGGACAGCCGTGTTTGTCACCAACAATTGGTAGGGGCTTAATGGCCGATGGCTTCTTCCGGCTGCAAACTCCAATAGACTTCAGTTGCTGAATAAAGTCATGCTGTGTCATTTCTCCTTGTCGACTAGCCAAGCTCTCCAACATGGCTGTTCTATCCTGCTTCAGTGCCTTCGATAGCTCTCTCGATAGCATCGCACATCTTTTCCTGTCCGCAAGGAAACGGAAGAGGGGACCCCAGAAGCGTCGACTCATACCCTCACATTGCCACCGCTGGGCTGGGTGCCACCCGTCCCATGCCCATTGCAAAGTGTAGGTGGCCATCCATTGGCGACGGATGGTCTGTTCCCGTCTGCAGCCGATGCGCTCCATCCGTAGTGCCCAAGTCGTGTCAGAGATATAGCTCTTCTTCCGGCGTACCCCACTAACAGGATAGGCCTCAGCAAGCTTCCCCTGGACCCATTTGGTCAGCTGGTCAGCATGGACATCCACATCAACGCTCCAGGCAATGCAGGGTGGCTCTGCAAAGACTGACGACAGTTTTCC